GATTAACTCCTAGCTTGGTATATGTACTAAGGCTTTATATTGTTCCTGTTTAGCCCTTACACTCCTAGCCCTTGGGCAGAGACATTTCAGATGTTTACCAGATTGCTCCATTCTTCTCCCAAGTGCCTCATTTTCACCTCTATTAAATTTCCCATTTTCCTAACTCACTAACCAGCATGCTGCCTGGTTCTTGGAAGACGGCTGGCTGTAAAAAAAGTTGAAGTTTTTGTCGACACTGTCCGTGCTTTCACCTCAAGGATTTGTCTGGTCCACCTGTGCCACCTTGCACAGAGACCAAAGGAAACACAGCAGCCCCTGGAAAGGAGTTAGCAGTGATCCCAGTAATGGGCAGGATTTTTATTTCAGTGATGGCAGATATATGAAGGAAGCAGCAATTAATCCTTCCTGTTTGCCTTCTCTAAGGATATCAAATTGTGTTGTAAACACAGGAGATTTAAACCTCTTTGTGACCCCTTTCACCGAAAATAAATATTAATAACCCCACTTCACAGACAGGGAAACAAACACAGAAAAGCTAAATGGCTTTTTATGGAAATGCCGAGGCAAAGGCAGGAGCTGCCAGAGCATGCACTGGAAACCATTCAGGGAGAGCCGTCAGTCAGGCCTTAAGGAGCAAGGGGGCAGAAAACAGGGTTGTGATTGCAATTACATCAGCTGGTGAGGAGCCAGCCCCTCAGTGCCCAGAGCTCAGTTAGCCAAAGGCTATGGCACTTTACTGACACTGGAGTTATTGCCAGAGCATGCAAGTGATGATTGTTTTTAGTGGTAGATTTGTCTTCCCTCTCACTGGTCCGTGCATGAGCTACAAGCAGCTTAATTAAAGGCTAAAAAAGCCCCTGATGCTAAAATAGCTGCCTTGCCATCTTTCTGGAGATGGTGCTAGACTCATAGCAGGGCACTTCTTTCTGCCTTCTCCTTCCCCTCTCTCTCTCTCTTCTGTTCTCTCACTTTTTAAAAGGGAAATAAAAGAAGCAGGAAAAAGAAAAGATGAAGAAAGTAGCCACAAACTGCTCCATCAACAATAATATGCCACGTATCTTCCAGGACCTGTCTGAGGATGTGAGTCCCTGGAGAGACAGCCCAAGGCCAGAGTTGATAGAGGCTCAACCCTCATGAAAAGCACTCACAGACCCCAGAGCACAATGCAGCGCTGAGGATACGGACTTGGCTGCCGTTTCTGGAGTGGGGAATACAGTGGCAGATTTATTCTACAGTAAAGAGGGCTGTTTCTTGGTAGCACTAATACTGACACATTATCTGGGGACGGAAGAGGATGCACAAATAGGAACAATTCTCCCATTTCTCTGCCTGTGTCTCCCCCAAATGCCCCCTACTCCTATTTCCTCCTGTTCTCTTCATTCCTCTCCTTGCACTGAGTCCTCTCCTTCCTCTCTGATTTATACGTTATTTCTTTAACCTTGTCCTTCATCTTTTCCCAACGCAATTACATGGATAGGCTTTTTAGTTCTCCAAGATTTTGCATATTATCTTCAACTAGATAAGCCCTGTGTCCAACCCTCTGCCTGGAAAACCATACAAGTGTTTTCAAACAGAAGGTCAAATCCTGCTCTCACTAAAACAGGAGTGAAAGTTTCCACACTGTAAGGACCAGGCCATGGGACAGGATGGGCTGATAACAACCTGATAGAAGAGGCTTTTAAAATTATCCAGCACAGCTTAAAGAGAAATGTCCTAACAAATCATCACTGCTCATCATTGAAGTGGAAACCAGCGATGGCAACTTCCACCACACTCCTGCAGAGTAATTCCAGCTCCCATCTCATCAGCTGAAATCAGTATAGAGCAAATACCTGGGCAGTTTTATATCTTTATTTTGCCCCTCCTTATTCCAAAAACACCCACTTTCACTACTACTACATTTGCCATCTTTATCTCACAATGGAACAGAAACTGGGAGAACAAACAAATTGGTCAAGAGCACATAAGAGATCTGTGGCAAAGAAAGAAATATAATATGAGTGTCCCAAATTGCTGCCAAACAGTCTGTGACTCAGGCTTTGCATCTCTAAGGGATGGATAGGGGCAGTGGATCTTGTCCAAGGACAGATAAGACAGGAGATAGCTCTATCACCCACATCTCTGCTGTTTGGAAGCAGTAGAGAAGCAGTGGAGGAGCAGGGCTGCTGTCTTTCCCCCTCCTTAATCTGCTTCCTGCCTGCTTCAAAAACAACCCAGTGCACGGTTGTTTATTATTATTATCACTGTTATTTTCCAGAGTGCTGTAAAACTAGGGGATAGAGCACTCTGACAGCCTCATAACAAACAACAGATAAAACTAATTAGATTTTGTTCTTCCTTCAGTTTGCTGACTTGATTCTTTTTTTCTTTTTATTGTTTAATTATTTATTTTTTAGCCCAGAGGTTTACACAAACAGACACATGTATTTCACTAGACGCTGGCAAGGCATCCTTGGGATCATCTCTGGCAGGAAAGGGCTATTGTGGCCGGGAGACCCAAGAGCTGGTGAGGGGCTGAGACAGAGGGTGCAGTGTAGTGCAGGACTCAGCACAGCATCTTCCACCCACGTCATGTCAACTGCAGGGGGAGGAAGGAGAGCACAGCCATTCAGAGCCTCTAAGAGAGTCAGCGTGAGACAAAAGGCATCAGTAAAAAAAGTTAATGTGCCTGGCAGGAGCCCAGAACTGCTGCAGCACTGGGGACCAGGCGAGCGCCTCTAAGACACCATCTCTTCTGGCCATTATGGGAATATTTGGCTTGAGTCTCAACCTGACAGCCTTGCTGACTCTTGAGGAAGGACAAAACGCTGGGGAGCAGGGCGACTGCCCTCTCCTCCCTCTCTCCCTCCCTTTCTCCGTCGGCTGTTTCCAAATTCTTTGGGATTAGCTAGCGACAGCAAGAAAAGGCACTGCTCTCAGTGCTCAGCACTTCGCAGGCTGAAGTGAGGTGACGGGCCCCGGCGCAGGGGACAAGGGCTTCATTCACTGGGGGATACCAAACCAGAATGACAAGTGTGCAAGAATAAACAAGGCTGGAGTTAATCTAAAGTTGTTTTACACTTTGTTTTATTAAAGTCAATGCACTTCCGTTCCTCTGTGCAGAGCCTAGCTCTGCTTAATTACCATGACTCAGGGAGAATTTTAATAGCGCGGAGCGCGCAGTGCGCACGGAGGCATTCTCCTGACCTCTAGAGGTCTGTCAAAAGAAGAGGAGCATCTGCTCCTTGTGTAGAAGTTCCTGGGGGAAAAAAAAAAGCAGGCAGCCCACAAAACTGCTTTTCCTGAAGTTATCCAGGTGCCATTCCCAAGTGGCTGGTCACCCATGTGTCCCTCTGCATTTCCTCACCCTTGGGCTGGGGGCTTCTCCTGCCCCCTGCCTTCTGCAGCACCCTCACCACTTGCTGACAAGTTATTGGGCACAGGCATGGGATGCTGGCAGGGAGAAAAGATTGACCAGGTTTTTCACACCACACAGCAGCATTTATGCAGGTGTGGTTGATGTCCAGGGACACTGCTCCCAGATCAGCTGCTGCATTTGGATCCCAGACACTGAAAACACCCTGAGGACCTCTGCCATCTCCCCACCTCCTGCAGCACAGGGATCTCTGAAATGGTGCTACTACTCATACATATTTGGCTCCACACATGGAAGATATATCTTTTATTATGTTATGACTACTCCTGCACAGTTTAGTCACCAGCACAGAATTTTCCCACTGAACTGAATTCCCCCTATTTAAAAAAAAACTCAGAATGAAACAGCTAAAAAGCCAAATATTATAGCCCAAATATTTGTATCTCATTAAGGAAAATGCTGATTTAAGAAGATTTTTTTTCTTTGCTATAGGGTTTACCACTGGCAAGCCTTGGTAGGCACACTTCAGCTACTGTTGTGGAGTGTTGGTACAGAAAGCAAAGTGGGTGCAAACATCCATGACACAGATATGTACAACAGTAATTTTTACCCTGTGTTCTGGGGAAGTGCTGTATGCTGAACACCCCAGAGCGTGGCTTTTGTACACTGCCATCAGTACCTAGCACAGTGTCAAGTTTTTGTCATGGCTACAAACACCGGATTTTTAAGTTAATTATGCACAAACATTGTTTCTTTATTAATAAGCTTTCAAGCAGTATTATACAAACTATTATAATGGGAACACCTGTTTCACCTCTTTTGTGTCCCTTCCTGTGAGCCACCCTTTTATTAAAATTCAGTATTGTGTGCAACAAGCTGCATGCTAAACCAAGCAGAACAGGACATCTGTACAGAGGCACTCACCACACCTAATGAATTAGTCTGGGCTAAGAAGCTCAGCTTCTAAGGACCCAAGCTGCCTGTCTTTTGAGCAGCATCCTAGAGAGATAGAGCACAAGGAGCTCTTATGTGCCAGGGAAGACTTTAAGATCCGTGGATACTGAAAACCAAGCAGGACAGGAAGAAGCTTTTTATCTAAAGAGCAACCTCCTACTGGAAAATATTGTCTAGGTAGTCTGAGGAAAGGTGCTCAGAAACACATCAGAGCATTTCATGTTCTGCACTAGGAATTCTCTTCAAAACCAGCATAAAACAAGGAAGATGACACGGTGCTTTTAATAATGCATCAATATTAATAATAATCATCATCGGTAATCACTGGAGTCCTTGCAGGCTGTAATGCAACAACACACTCAGCACATTCATCCCTGTCCTTGAGCCTCACAAAGCAGTGACAGAGCTGGGAGCCTCTTGCATCTTAAAATTAGCTCCATTTGGATTCAGGGCAATTCCCCATTTGCAGCAGCAGAGTCTAAGACACTTGGCAAGATCAGGCAACGTGAAGTGCAAGATGAAGTGACATCTCTTCATGCAGCCTTGCTCACACAGGACTGCTCTCAAACCCATGGCACAGCCCCAGTGCTGATGAACCCAGAGGAAGAGCTGTGCTGTTGGGTGCTGGCTGGCTGGGAGATGAAGTGACATCTCTTCATGCTTTAGAGATGCAGAACACATGTGTGGGTTCTCTGTCTGTGCTGGATTCTCAGGAACTGGGAGGCAATTTTAAGAGAAATCTCTAATTTTTCTCCATTTGGGGATTAAAGAAACTGTTCTAATTGATGCTTGGGCTAAATTCACTCCTGGGTTTTGCCACCATCACTAATCTATTGGTGAATTTACCTTAAGTTTCCAGAGGATCTATAGGAATTGTCACTGCTGCTTTCCTTACTGTGGCACATTGGATTTCCCATGCTGTTGCTGAGATACAGCCATCTCAGAAATATGCACAGCCTGACCCAACCTGTTGAATGCACTGTAAAAATTCTGATCAGACAGAAATCAGAGACATGCTCTACAGCTCAAGAGAGAATGGCAACAGAGAGCTCTGGTGAAAGGCATCAATAACTGTCACTTCTCCAGGCAAAGGCTGCCTAAAGTCAGAAAAAGAGAATCATCTCTTATTCCTTGGTCTCAAAAACTGTTCCTTAGGTCAATCTGTATGAAACCATATACTAGAGGCAGCCATGAAACCGGAGATTGTGTTTAGGAATGGATGATCTCACATGGTACCACCTGGGCTAGTGACCCATTGCTCTGCCTCAGGTACAAAGTTAAGGAGTTGTTCTCAGCAGATGTGTGTATACAAATTACACAAACATACAGTCAACTCTCCTTTCAGAACCAGGAGCAACACATCTAGGAAGGGTGCTGAAGCTGGCAAACAGGCAAACATGAGCAGCGACCCATTTTCTTGCAGCTCTGCAGGTCGCAGCCTTGCTCACACAGGACTGCTCTCAAACCCATGGCACAGCCCCAGTGCTGATGAACCCAGAGGAAGAGCTGTGCTGTTGGGTGCTGGCTGGCTGGAAATGTAGAGCTCCCTCAGAGCTCTGGAGCTGCATGTCTGTCCTGTGGTCACTCCTTCATCTTCTGTCTCGCCTTCCACACACGAGAGGCACTCCTGGATCTCTTGGTCTAGCTCCAAGAATTCCTCTTCACCATCAGAGCTACTGGCAGTGTCATAATCAATCTCTTCTGCACAAGGAGGTTCATCATCAGACTCCAGGCTGCTGTTACTGCACCTTCTGCAGAAAAACCACAAGAGAGACTGGACGTCACCAAAGGAGGAGGTGTTCTCAGGGGGAAGAGCAAGCAACAGGGAAATGCTTTTCCTGGGTTCAACCTTGGCTCTGTTAGTAAGGGATGGAGTGGTAATAAGCAAGCTCTGGTGCGTCTCTGTGTCTGTCTCACCAATGAGAATGATAAAATGAAGAGTGATACTCACTGACCTCTCAGGAGTAAAGCATTATTATTCCCATCACTATTACAGCTATTGCTAATACAGAAACAGAGTGCTTTACATACAGACAATACCATTCTTGCCTTGAGGCACTAACAAAGGTTGCAGAAGCTGAAATATAGCAGAGAAGAAGGTATTCAGTTTCCAGAAGGTTGCTGGTTTAATCATCATCCCCCTCACTGCAGTTCCACATTTAGTGTAAGACCTAATTAATCCAGGTGGTTGAAGTGCTTTGGCATCTTTTCCTCCTGTTGTGTGAATGCTCAGAGCACTGCTAACAAGAGGCAGCACATGCAAAAAACTGAGCCTCTTGAATCTTCGAGCACAGTGGCTGCAGGGAGGGCAGATGCACCAGGAGAGGCTGTGTTTTGTGAAGAACATGGAAAGGTTTTGATAGCGTGGCTTCCTGGGGAAGGGCCAAACTCAGAGTCAAGCCTGAATGGCTGAGGAAAGACTCTAAGTGGAGGTCACAGCCACATCATCTGGCTCTCAGAAAGCAGTTTACCCCACCTTGGCCTCCTGCCATTTATTCAAAGGCATGGCCACAGAGGCTTTCCTTGCATGCCCACTTTCAATGCACAGTGCATGAGGTTTGCCTGGTGCAACATTTATGGCAGAAAAGTGACCACTAGACTACGTGGTTCTGGAGGTCCCTCTCCTCCCAAGCTGCCTGCATCCCATCTGGCTCTCAGCCCACGAGGGCAACTTGATAATTTTTTGAGACCAGAAAGAAGTCTGTGATTTCAGTCTGGGTCACAGTTTGGATGAATCAGGGGAAGAGATAGTGCATTTTTCACCTCCAGGTCAATGTTTTCGATCAGACTCAAAGCAGGGGAATGTATTGCTTTGGGGGACAGGGAAAGGAATAATAATATTCCACCTCTGGGCCAGAGTTTTTTTAATTTGTCCCAAGCTGGGAAGAATGACTGGCTTGGCAGATGGAGCATACACAGCTTTAATGTGTGGTCTGCTCACTTACATGCCAGTAACCAGAATAATCTTCCAGCTTTCAGCTGTTACACAGCAGTGCCAGCAAGTGAAGTTTCAGAACATACCAAAAGTTTAAAGTATTGCTTTTGGATGCATTGATTCCTCCCCTCTTCTGCACTCCAAGAAAGGTGTAAGATTTTCCTAGGTCTGAGACTCTAGATCTTAACTGCAGAGTATTCTGCAGCAGAAAAAAGCAGTGTCAACCCACATCTCCTTCTCAGGCTGATCTCTGGCTTAGTTTACTTCAAAGGCTGGGTATAAAGGATTTTCTGAAAGCTTAATAGAGCTGTACAGCTTAAAAATAAATAAAAGAATAATTATGCACTTTTAGAGTTTCTGGCTCTACTTCAGTCTGCTCAGAAATCTGGGTCAGGAAGAACTCATACTGAAAATTAGGATGTGACATGAAACAAAACAAACAAACCAGGACAATCCTCCCAGCACAAACAGCAACAGCAATGGTCCCAGCTGAGTCTGACCAGTGGGTTTAATTTCTTCTTTTAATTTTCATATGCAGGCATGGCATGAATTACCATGATACTGAGTACCTATGATAATGTTCAAAGCTGACTAAACCCAGGGGAACCAGAATTTTCATTTATAAGCCCTGCTCATGCAGATTTGCAATCAAAAAGAACCAAAGCATACCTACTTTCAATATTGCACTTGTACATTCTTAAGGAGCTGCTAATGCCATTGGGACAGAACATAGCTGTTACCCAACTCACTGATATTTTACAGATGGAGCAGCTTGCAGCCTAGGAACTGAAGGTCAAACATTTGCATTAACATGATAATTGGGGGGGAAAAAGATCCCTATTATTACTTAAATTCGGGAAGCCCAAATAACAGGATCTTCTGAATTTTTCAATAATTTAAATTATTTTAGGACTGTATTTCTGACAAAAAAGGGAAAATACCTCCTACCACAAAAACACTTTGCTAATGAAGGGAAGTCTGGAAGACGACAAACAGAGAATGAAAGACAAAAAATACAAAACTGCCATTTTTTTACATTGAAGACTGAAGGGATATTCTTTAGGAAAAAAGCATTTATTCCTTAAAACATTTGTAATGCACTTCCAAAGCTCCCCCTTTTTGCCTGCCTGCACTGCACACAAAACACCAAGAGAGCTCAATTTAGGGGGGCAGTTGTGGTGCAGAAAGAGGTTCCCCATGAGTTAGGATGTGCTTAGACCCTGCTTGGAGGTCAGGAAAGAAGATTTTCTTCCTCATTAGCTCTGTCCTTTGCTCCTTTGCTGTGGCAGTGACGAGCAAGGCAGTTAGCACTGATCTTAGCTTCTCCAGCCTGGAGTGGCAGCCCTGGACCAGAGCCACCAGCACAGGTCTCACAGTGAGCTCCCAAAAAGCAAAGGGATGGCACCAACCTCTTCCTGCTGCCAACACAGGCTGCAGCCACACTGCTGACTTCAAAGGTGAGAGGATCTTTATCACATTAACAAAGTCTACAAACCAGTTACATCTCTGCACTGTACGGAACTTTACATCCCAACAATTCACTTTGTGCTGCAGGAAGATTTAAAACACATTACAAAGCAACACCAATGGGCTTTGTGGTTCCAAGCAGCAGGTTCTTCTGAAAGAGGAGAGGTGGCAGCCTGTGGCACGTGGAGGAGCCAGCCAGTTCCCCCAACCAAGTGCCAGTCCTTGCATGTGCTTCCCCACATCACAGAAACCATCCCCTTCCATGCAATTGGTGAAACATGGTAAGGAACAGGATTGCCAACATCTACTGACTATTGCATTCTTTCCCAACAGAGTTTTGGGGGTTTGTTTATTTTTAATCTGATCTTTAAAAGCTGAAAAAGAATTCACCCGACAAAAAATGAAACAAAAACTGAAAGCAAAACAACAAAAAAAAACCTACCCAGGAGACATGAAACATATTTATCAAAGAATAATGATGTTGTCTCACAGAAGGTAAACAAAGAGGAAAACCAATGACACTACATTATAGAAATCCAAGAGAAATATAGACTATGAATACCACTGAACATGAACACAGTGCAGAAGAGAGGGGGGAAGGCTGGTAAATATATTCTACAGCCAGCAATCCCCCAGCTTTTACAATAAAACATGTACACATTTGGTTGATCTTCAAAACCTATGGCCTCATAGCCCCCATCTATTCCAGCTGATGGGAACCACGGCAGCAATTTGCAACTTCATGATGTGATAAATAGAATTTCTTTGTTTTGATTTTTAATTTGCATATTTACTCAGATATGACTTAATCTTAATTAGTTCTCCTTTTCTATGTGGGTGTGTTTTTTGTTTGCTCAGTTTTGGAAAGCAAGCAATATTTGGTTCCCTGTAAAATAATTCTGGTTTTTTTGCTGGCTTCATGGGAGAAGGAAAAGGGAGCCCAGTGCCTCCTCACACAACTTTGTGGTATGACTGGAAAACACTTTTTTCAGGTGCCTGCTGTCAACCCTTCATTCTGAGTCAGCCTGCTAGGACACAGCTGGAGAGAAAGCTCTCATGTCAGCTGTCCTGCTGAGCCACACCTCAGAACACACACTCTGCAGCTGTGGTGATAAACTATAGCTACACACTGCACATGGGCATGAGTGGCATCTCTCTTCCATACTTAATTTTAATCCACTTGTGCATGCACCAGGGAATGGAGAAAACTAGAGAACCCCTAATTTCTAGTGATTTTTTCACTCACATTTTGCTTGTGTGGCAGGTCACTCACTCTCTGTGTATTCTGCTGGCTGGCTCAAAATAGAATGTTTCATTTTTTCTGCTGGAAAGAACAGGCACTGACAACTGTCCCTCTTAGGGAATCTGTGACTGCTGCTCAGGGTTTCTGCTTGACCTTCACTTGACAGCCCTCACAGTTGCAATGCATTACAGAAGGAAGTGGAGCATTTACTTTTCTTTCATATTGCTCCTCTCACTGTTGAAATTTGTTGCAGCCTTCTCAGAGAGAAACTGGAAGTGGGAGGGTTTAAATGCATCACATAAAAAGGAGGAAAAAGCGGAGGCTGGAGACCACTGCTGGTCATGGACATACCAATGATTTTCTCTGAAGGATGTATCAACAAACAAGCAAACATGACCTCAGCCTCTCTCTGCAATGAAAAATGACTTCCCAGCATAATCACCCTGCCTGTAACCCTATTTTCTCCTCGTGTTAAACCTTCTCTCCATCATGGCATGTCCCAGTTCTTTGGAAACTGCCCAAAGCAGGGATGTGGCTGTGTATAACGAGCCAAGCACATCTGATACAGTTCATAGACTAAATAAGCAGAAAATAGCTTTACTGAAATTTTTCAAGAGATGAGACATTCTTGTGTATGAATAGAAAACAGGAAAAGAAATTTATGTGATTAAACAGGTCAAATTCTCCACAGTTACAGCATTCACCTGAAGGGTGTGGTTTTTTCCCACTCAGGCAGGGAGTGGAGACCCCAGAAAGTTCCCTGACCACAATTATCACCTGTGCAGAAGGGGAATTGCCTATTCTTTTCCAAAGAAGTTTTTTCTATTGCATGAACAGTTACCAGGGCTGGTAAATAAAGTGTCCTGAAGCTTTAAAGATATGCTGCCCTCACCATAGTGAATTGGAATTGCCTTGCCCTTCTGGCTTTTTACCATTAAAATTCCATCTACACCACCAAATCTTAAAGGGATGTGTGGTCTTGCACAGTTTTGCTTTTGAGGAAACCATATGTTTTATTAAAAGCAGGAACACTGCTTCTGAAGGCTTGTAATGAATCTAAAATGAACCTTAAGCAGACACATTTGCAGTAATCCCAGAGTACAATT